TAGATTTGAAGTCATTTGAGTGACTTTAGATGAGATTTCAGATAATTTAAATCTCATAATTTAGGTGAGATTTGAGAGAATTTTAATAATGAATTTTCTAATTCACCAAAATTTACCAAAATTATCTCAAAACTCAATAAACTCAAATCACTCTAAATTCATCATTCAATACACCCCCAGATTTTTATCAAACTAGGTAAATCTCAGTAAATGTTATTTAGAAATATATTTAGAAAAATAATCAGAAATATCTTTGGTTAGAAAAGAGTTATTTACATACAATTTATTTAAGAAATAAATATTAAAGGTTCTTGATAATATTTTAAATCTAAATAGTAATCACACATCTTTTTAAAATTTTATTTGGAGGTTTTTTAAAAAAACAGGATTTAAATCTTACACATTGCATCTTGCAATATAATTTAGGGAAATTGTTAAAAATACTCTTTTTGGTGTGCCCCTTTTAGATGTCCATTTTCAAAAATGCCTCTTTTTAAATATGAAATTTTTATAAAGTTTTATTAGGTTTATAAGGTACTTATGGATTGTAACTACTACTTGAAGACTCGATCCAAGTATTTATAAGGTTTTATAAAGTTTTTTTTAAAGGTTTTACAAGTTATTTTAAAGGATTTTTAAGGTTTTTCAAAGGTTTTACAAGATATTTTAAAAGTTTTTAAAGGTATTTAAAATGCATTTATAAGGTATTTATAAAGTATTTATAAGATTTTAGATACATAGAAATGTAGTTTGTGTATGTTTTAATAATATTACATTAATATTTGGGTAAATCTTATATTTTTAAGAGATTTTTTATAAGGTTTTTAAAAAGGGGTATTTTTGAAAAGTGGCATTGAAAAAGTGCCATTTTAGCAAAAGCCCCTATAATTTACTGAAAACTAAGTATCTTTTAAATCATAACAAAACAGATTTTAATTCTACCCACTTCATCTTAATGGGTAACAACTAAAGTTTTTATATCAAAAATAATATGTGTATCATATCAAATCTATATCTTAGTAAATATTAAAAATAAATAAAAACGAACAAACAAATTTAATAAAAAAATAAATGATTAGTCCAAAAATTTTTTCTGGAAACCAACATTATTTTAAATATATATATTTTCTATACGTTGTAATCTCTTAAGTAATAATTTTTGTAAATGCGTTAAAATTAATAAAATAAAGCATAAATAAAAATGTACTAAACAATTTCACCAACTAATCTAAAATTCATTCTTTTTAATTTCATTGTTTTTTTTTGTTTTCACTTACAAATAAAATTACAGTACAACCATAAATACAAATTATATCCAACTAAATTAGTGTTGAACAACATATATTGTTCATTTGAACTTCAAGACTAATTGTTTGTTGGTTAATAGCCAAGCTAAATGGTTAAAAGTTTTGATATATGTCAAAATCTAATTGATCAATAACATACGTAAATAGCATATAATTTTTTTTTCTTTTTTTTGGGTTAGTTTTCCTTTTTTCTTGAAAAAAACAAAAAGTTAATAAAAAAATTCCCCAAAAAAACCTCAATTATTTTTTATTTGGACGTTCAATACCCAATTATTTTCGGTTGGAAAAACAAATACACATATTAATAAAACTGTGCGATTTAATATCTAAATAATTAAATGAAGTTATTTTCATACTCACGATCTCACAACAAAAATAAAATTCCAATTTTACCCTTACTATCTCAATTAATTATTAACTTTTAGATTACGTGACAATAGTTTTTGTTTAAATAAAAATTAATTTTATTAATATTTCATTTCTTTGTTATCCCAAACAAAATTCAAAAAAAAATTCAAAATAATTTGCAGTTTATTATACAAATATTTAATTTTTACAAATATTTTGCAAATAATTTGCAGTTTATTTTACAAATATTTGAGAGAGACGATGAGATTCGGATTGAGATTTTGTCGAAAATAGTTTCATTCGTGAAGGATTTATATTCGAATAGAGAGTTTCTCACGACGAAAAAAAAGTTCATATTGATGCTCGTTGATATCATATGCATCACGACGAATCAAATCAAATTAGTTTTATTGGCGATGAAGATTTTGGATAGGATTAAAAGGAGATTGTGAACGGTTATCGAATTTGATGGTTGCAAAAAAAGACGACGGAGATTGTTTACCGGTAATTATCCTAGATATTAATAAAAAAAAATAGAATCTAAGAGAAAACGTCTCTTTGACATTGCAAAGACGGAATAAGATTGTACAAATGACTATTTTTAATATTTTTGATTTTATGCTAATTTTTATGTTTAATTTTAAAATAAAATAATTATATAAATTTAAAATTTATTTTTAGGTTACATCACATTCACATTTTGAATGAATGTTTATTTCAATATGAAATAATACAACGTTATTTAAAAGTTTATCATGAATTGAGATGGTAAGGGTAAAATTAGAATATTTTTTTCTGTTGTGAGTTCATGAGTATGCCAATAACAACATTGGATTGTTTGGGTATTAAATCGCACAGTTGTATTAGTATGTGTATTTTTCGTCCAACCGAAAACAATTGGGTATTAAACGTCCAAATAAATAATACATGAGGTTTTTTTTGGGAATTTTCCCTTTTCAAAAATGCCCCCTTTAAGAGTCCATTTTTTAGTTTGCCCTCTTTAATTTTTAGTGACCATTTTACCCTTATTTGAAACAAAATTAGGTCCACAAAATACAGAATATTTTTTTGCGGGAAAAGTGATCCCGCAAATTTTTGGCGGGAATAATGATCCCGCAATTTTCTCGCCAAAATTTTTTTTTTTCAGGAAAAGTGATTCCGCAATTTTTTTGGCAGGAAAAATTTACAAGGTATTTTAAAGTTTTTACAAGTGTTTTGTAAGGTTTTACAATGTATTTTAAAAGGTTTTACTATGTAGTTTAAAAGGTTTTACAAGGTACTTATAAGGTTTTACAAGTAAAAACCTTTAAAATACCTTGTAAATTTTTCCTGCCAAAAGTTTAACACCAAAAAAATTGCGGAATCACTTTTCCCGCAAAAAATTGTTTTTGGCGGGAAAAAATTTTACGGGAAAATTTTACGGGAAAATTTTACAAGGTATTTTAAAGGTTTTACAAGTTTTTACAAAATCAAATTTGTAATTTTGATGTGTGCACATTCTCATGTTTTCCTTATATATTTGTGATATCTTTTATTAAAAGAAGGGTAATTTAGTCATTTTGTACATAAAAAAGGTTATTTTTAAAAATGGACAGGCAAAGGGGGCATTTTTGAAAAGGGGTATTGAAAAAGAGGCATTTTTGTGAGTCTCCCTAAATATATATCGAATGATGAATTTAGAGTGAATTAGAAAATTTATTATTAAAATTTTATCAAATCTCACATAAAACCATTAGATTTGTATTTTTGTATTTTTAACTAATAAATTCTCTGAAATCTCACCTAAAGTCACTCAAATGACTTTAATCCACTATTTAAAACATTTTCAATAACAATGGATTTGATTGTACATTTTAAAATCACTAATCTAATAACAATTGATTTTAGAAATTTTTATAAAATTGATGTTTGAATAGCATAGGATTTGTCATTTTAATAGAATTCACTCCAAATCCTTTATTCAATACACCCCTTTATATATACGGAAAACGGCCAAAATCAACCCCAACTATTTCAATGCGGTTTTTTTCAACCCAAACTCTTACCCTCTGCACTTATCAACCCAAATTCACATAATTTTAAATAACAAACCTGAACTATATAACTGTTAGCCAATTTCAACATATACATGATAATATATAATGTAACAAATATGAATTATGTAATATTTAGCCAATTGAATAAAAGAAATGATTCAGAAACAAATAAACAAATAATTACGAGTACTTAACAATTCTAATCGATATTAACAAATACAAAAAAATTATGTTGAAATTGGCTAACGGTTACATAGTTCAAGTTTGTTATTTGAAATTTATGTTGGTTCGGGTTGATAAGTGCAGGAGATCAGAGTTTGGGTAGAAAAAAGCCGCATAGAAATAGTTGGAGTTAATTTTGGCCATTTTCTCCTAAATATACATGTAAATATTTACTATATATATCATGTTGGAGAAATAATCTATTTTTAGATGAATGGTGTATCCCGTGGAAATCCGGATTTGACTACGGTGGAAATTCGAAAATTTGGCGTTTAACTTATACAATAAACAGCTAAATTTGGTCACACAAATCAACCGAGTAAAAAGCTGAACCAAATTGTACTAGTAAGAACATATAATAATATATCTAATTTATAATGGTTATATAAAATCTAAAATTAGTATGATTGTAGATGGAGATATGTGGTGAACTATTATGGATAAGAAGGAATCATCTAGTCACGACCACGCGTTCCACTGAAAATAATCAAGAAAAGCTCCACTTAAATTGTTTAAAATAATTTACAATTTTGTTGCGGAAAAAAACCGCTAATGCCTTTTTTTGTTAAAGCTTTTGCTCCATTTTGTAACTTTTATATGTTAAATATAACATAAATACATAATATAGAATGTGAATTGTATTTCTCATTGATTGCATATATACATGCCTTATTGACTTGTCCTTTATATGGACGTATTTTGGTGATTCCAATCTTGTTGCTTATATCAGTGAATCTAAGAAGACTATGGCCTTGGCCTGTGAATTTTCTTTCGCTAACTCAATAAATCTCTAAAAAATTCATAGATTAGTTAGTTAATCAAGATAATATCATGAACTCATAATTTGGGTTTAACACAAATCTCCCTCGGCTTGAGTTGGACGAGGGAGATTTGGTCATGGATTCAAGCATCGATTCTCAAAATAATGATTAATAATATAATATAACAAAATTATTATGTGCAGTATTTTCTTGATAATTTAGTACCAAACCGGTTTTGGAATCGAACCGAAAGGCCCAGCCTGTTAACAAGATAAAGTGAAACCCTATTTTTTCACGTACGTATAAAAGAACTAAAGGAGTCACAAAATCTGAGGCAATGCACATAAACCAATACCCTAACTCGATCCTTGTCTGTGAACCATCTCAGCACCACTCGATTCCAGCTCGAGCCGCCGCGTGAATCGTCTTCACCGAAGAGGTAAAACCTGTGATCTTAAATCTGGATTTTAGTATCTAGGTTGATTAATTGTTAAACCATCCTAATAACCCTGGCTTGAATAGCCGCAGATCTGTGTTGGCGAGCCGTCCACTTTGCCGTTCTAGCTGTCAAGCAAACCGTCGAGGAGATCTACCAAGAAAGGTAACGGCGAAGTTCAACTCTTGTGTCTGTTCTTTTGGTTATTGAACCGATAGTCTAAACCAAGTACTAGACCAGGAACTCTAATTGATTAAGTCCACCAGAACCGAAACTTAATTATTGAGAACGCATGAGTTGATTTGCCGTTGTGGTCACATGCGGTGGACAGTGGTACTGCATGTTTACTGCTTCTCGAATTAATTTTACTGGTTCTTAAGATTAATTTGTATTTTTTGAAGATGAAAAGTAAAATTGTAAAAGCTATTGACTTTTTTTTTTTGGTATAAACCTCATATAGCTTAGTAGATTTTAGAATACTTAGATTTCTAAGCTAAACTCTAATTTAGTATATATATCTTCTGAATTACAAACAGAGAAAAATAATTCCTAAATCTCTTTGTTCATAATACGTTGTTAGTACGAAATCCTAACCGCTTGAATTAAAAAATAATTCTATCAAAAAATTTTAACCGAGATCCGAAACATGTCGGTTAGAGACTTTTGGTAAAAAATATTTTTTTGCTCAAACAGCTAGGATTCGTGCTGATAACGTGTTATGAACAAAAAATATTTAAGAATTGTTCTTTCGCTTTTTGATGTATTCCCCACAAGATATAAGATAATATTATGTTTGAGCTTAAAATTCAAATATTCTAAAACCTTTTACAATTTACTAATGTACCTATAATTAGCATTCGCAAAATAACTATATTATTCATAATAATTTTTTCATTGTTTTGGAATATTTCGAGTTTTTGGATATTTGGTTATATTTTTCTTAATCTTTTTTAATTCTAATAAAATTAGTTTAGCTAATCATTGTAATATTGACTATCTTAATGAATATTTTCTTCATAGTTTTCGGTCTATTTAATTACCTCACTAGTAAAAACTATGGGCACTATATGGATTTAGGCCTTTTCGGGTAATGCATATTTCTATATGATATCTAAAGGGCTAATGGGTTATGTAATTATCAGAGATAAAATATCACTATCGAAGATCTCAAATTGTTGGCTAGTTACAATTCATATCTACCAATTATTTTCAATAACAGAAAATTAAGTGCATTTTAGAATATATTAGTAGCGTAAAATGAAAATAGTATTTCATTTTAAGAATATTACTATTATATATACCAAAAACATGTATTCGGTTGTCTTCGTCTTGAATGAGGAGTGTACAAGTTCACTCTTTCGCAGAAATAACGCCAAGCCAAGCTCTTCGGCCTCAAATGTGTTTGGTTTATAACAGGCCTATGGATATCTGTTACTAACCGAACATGACATGTATCCATCGGATAGAAAGGATAAGATTCATTCGGGCATTTAGTGATAACCGCAACCAAACCGAAGTTTTTTTCGGTTTGGTTTTTCGATTCCAGTATTTGTGCCAAGCGCTAACCTTAATAGCGTCTTCTTGAGATTTGTTCTTCTTACTTGTGTTTGAAAACGGCTGATTCTGCCACGAACTTAGTTACTTTATCGTATTTATACACAGAACTTTGAGTTGTGCTTATAGCTACATGGACTTAATAAAAATTCGGTCAAAACAACCAAATCGACAAACAGTATTAATGTTTAGTTAACAAATGTTGACCGGGATGCCATGTTTGCAATTGAAAATGCCACGTCATGTCACAAAACGATGTTGTTTAATACTCCCTCCGTTTCATAAAGAGTGTCGTTTTAAGGTTTTATTTTTGTTTCACAAAAAGTGTCGTTTTAGGTTTTCAATGCAAAATTTAATAATTTTTTATGTTTTATGACTATTAGTATTCTGCAGATTGTTTTACTATTGGGTAGATTATGTTTAGGTATATAGTTAATGATGTTTTTGTTTAGAAAAAACAAAAAATTTAATGTTTTCTTAATCTGTGTGCAAAACTCTAAAATGACACTCTTTGTGAAACAGAAGGGGTATAATTTTATAAAAATAAAAAATCAGAAGAAAAATATTACTTATTGGAGGTTTGAACCCACAACCTCAGCTTAAATACAAAAGCTCGGAACCAACGGAGCGAAAGTAACTTTATTTCATTCGAACACACACATCTATATAATGCAATTGATTAAAATAACAAACAAAAGTTACTCTCCATTCTTCTTTGTAAAAAACTTCCAATTCCATGCAATCGATGGTGGACAGAAGATGGCGAATTGGGAAGAGGAATCGCATTAGGTGTTGCGTTAGGAGCAGTTGATTTGAAACTGTAGTGATTGGAACCCTAGATCCCATCTCTTTCTACAAACAATGGAAAAACCTTCGTAATTCTAAGAACTCGATCCCTTCGTAATCTTCATGGCTCGAATCTTGGCCGTCACAATTCGCCAGAAACTCTCCATCTTCGTCTTCCTAAAATCTCACCATAGATCCTATCTCTTTCTATAAACAATTGAAAATACCCAAAGAAAAACACATACAAATTCCAAAATCGATTCAGTAACAATTAGACATTTTGTATCACATATTCAATTCCAGAAGATGTAGAATCTTCTAGAAATTGCATAATTGAAGTAGAGGAATGAAGCATAGATAGGAATTTGTGGTTTCTCGATCACTATAGAGGAGAAGAAGGTTTCTCGATCACGAAAAGTGTAATAGCATAATTTGTATTGAGTTTGTATATTCATGTTAGAGGTCACGAGTTCGAGACCATTTATGGATATACTTTTTTTTTACTAATAAAACTATGTTGTTTTGTAGCTCCATGTGGCATCCTAATCAGCATCTGTTAACGGAATAGTAACATTGTTTGTCGATTTGATGATTTTGACCGGATTTAGGTTGTTTGTATAGAAAATTCAAATTTGAGTTAAGTTGAGGTATTTATAGGCACGACTCAAAGTTTTGTGTATAAATACGATAAAACAACTAAGTTCATAGGGGAATTGACCGTTTTCCCTCTATAAGAACCTTTATGGGTTTCTTAAACTAAAAAAAAATATTTTAATACAATTTAGTCATATAATTAAATTTTAATTTTCAAAATGAATTGAACCATTATATAGAAGTATGTGTCTTAATGGATTTTATGGGGGTTCTCAAGTTTCTCATTTAAGAACCCTTCTTTGTTGTCTTTATTCTTTTTCTTATTTTTTTTCTAATATTTTTCTTTTCTGAACGAAGTAAAACCTCTATAAATTAATATTGTTGGGACTAGCATATTCTATTAATTTATCAAGTTATTAATTTATCGATATACTAATTACTTTGAAAAAGTAATTTGGGATCAAAAAAATATTTTGATTTATAACGAGGCATTAATTTATCGTGGTTAGAAACTCAACTAAGATCCTCCAACAGGGCTTCTCATCATGGGCTATTAAAGTTTATTGGATCAAAAATAAATCATAAATGGGTAAATAGAAGAAGAAGCGAGTCTTAAATAAGAGGTTCAAGAGCCCATTAAAATCGGTGTCGTGTCGCGTTGTGGTTGGTCGAAGGATTTGTTTAAATAAGTGGAAAACAAAAAATTTCGTGTTTCTCTCTCTATTTTTTCGACAATTTTTTTGTTTCGCGATAATCGCCGAAATTGTGGCAAATCGGAAGCAAACTGTGGCAAATTGGAGGGGTTTATTACCAATATCATCATCTCCACGAGAATCAGCATCTGGGATTCTCTCCATATTCTCAGGTTTACTGTTTTTATCTACAGCCTTATAAATTGAGCACAGAACAGTAATATCTTCTAAGTCAAGACTCTTAAGTCTATTGGATTTATTTATGTGATGAAGGATGTGTGCATTGTTCATAGATCTCACAATTCTTGTCTCTGAACTGGTAAGCATTAAGTAGAGTTTTGCTTTAACACTCGGGTTTAGAGTAATGGATGAGGATTAACCACTGATATGCTTATAACAATGTATAGTGGTTGTGCAATGCCCCGACCACCACACCTCTCTTAATGGGTCCCACGTTCTCTCTCGGCCCATGGGCCCACCATCTTCAGACGGCCGGTTTGTTACGTCCGGGAAGCTTTAAAGACTTGTTTACCGATCCTACAAATCACCACATGATCTTTCCCTGTGTTTTGTCCTCACTCACACAGTTCTGACAATCACTTCCCGAAAGGTCACCCATCTTTAAACTACTCCAGCCCAAGCACGCTTAACTGTGGAGTTCTCTCAGGACAGTTAACCGAAAAGATAAGTGCATTTTGGTGACATAGGTGGCCAAATCAATTCTTATAAACCTCTCCGCATGCACCACCACATTCCTGAAAACCGGGGTGTTACAATTCTCCCCCACTAACAGATCGCAACGTCCTCGTTGCGCACCAAAACCGTCACCTCCTACGTTGTGAGCCCTCTTGACTCCACACTCGTCTGAGTTCGGTTCTTATACCACTTGTAACGCCCCGATCGCCACACCTCTCTTAATGGGCCCCATATCCTCTCTCGGTCCATGAGCCTACCATCTTCAGACGGTCGGTTTACTACCTCCGGGAGGCTTTAAAGACTTGTTTACCGACCCTACAATTACCACATGATATTTCCATGTGTTTTGTCCTCACTCACACAGTTCTGACAATCACTTCCCGAAAAGTCACCTATCCTGAAACTACTCCAGCCCAAACACGCTTAACTGTGGAGTTCTCTCAGGACAGTTGACCGAAAAGATAAGTGCACTTTGGTGACATAGGTGACCAAATCAATTCTTATAAACCTCTCCGCATGCACCGCCACATTCTTGAAACCGGAGTGTTACAGGATGCTTTTTGTTTCTGATGTGGAACACTAATTTTCAATAACAATCAGTGAGTAAAAAGAAACGTACTCATAATTTTGTGTACTTTGTCATATTATTGTCATGAATCTCTGTTATAGTCATGAATCTCTGTTTACACCAAATCTCATCTTGTTAGAGCATAAATAGTGGAAGTCTCTCACCAAGTCTCTCAACAATATTAAAAAGAAAAATAATAAAAAAGAGGAGTGAGAAAAGAGAATAGATTCTCACATGAGAACATATGAGAACCTCTTTAGAGACTTCTTTCAGACATGGCAAAATTTGATTGGCTTTGCTTTTTCTCTTTAATTATTAATTTAAAATAACAAAAAAAAAATATTAAAAGACTATATGAGTCTCTACCAGTGCTCACTCTTAGAGCATTGGTAACGCTGAAACACTGATTTGTGTTCTTAACATTATTTTATTAAGAAGAGAGAGAAGAAAAAAAAGAAAGAAAAAAGAAGAAAAAAAGAGGACTAATACACAAAAGACACGTGCTCATAATACTCTTAGAACACCTTAAGAACAGTTCTCGGGGAGGAACACAATTCCACTTTGTCTTATACTGTTCAACCCTTTTATTAATTTAATACTCTTAGAACACCTGATGTGTTTTGGCGATGCATATGCTCTTAGTGTATTCAAAATGTGTTTATCAAGACTTTAACACCAAACTTCACTTGTCTTTTCTCTATCTTTCTTTTAAAATTTTCAAAACACCAAACACCAAATTTTATTTTCAAAACTTTATTTCTTAAAGATCTCTACCATTGGACAAGATAATTGTTAAGAATCCCAACGTAATTCCTAAACTTTGAAATTGTCAAAATTTAGAGTTAAGAGCCCCTCATGCACTCTTACCATTGGAGATGGTCTCCTAGTGTGGCCTTTTGGGCCGAGACAAGCCCTTTTCAAAAACTTGCACCAAAGCCCTAGCTTTATCTCGTACCTTTCTTTCTACGTTTACTTGAGAAACAACAACCCCGTGAACGCCCTAACGATATCTCCGGCGCTGGCAAATCAAATCTACGGTTAGTTCTTCAAACTCCTCTCTCGATTATACGATTACCTAATAGATTTTGATCGACTTATATAGAACCCTATAATTTGGGATAGAATTTGAGAAACTCATCGCCCTAGGATTCAATCTTTATCTAGGAATGGAGTGCGATAGAATCAGCGCATTGCCGGATTCTTTGATAGCTATGATACTCTCATACCTTCCAATAGGCGATTCGGTTAAGACGAGCGTTTTGTCGAAGAGATGGGAATTTCTCTGGCTAGAGGTTTCAAGATTGGACTTAGACGCCATTAACTTCTCTCGTGACGGAGAAGCCTTGGCGAGGTTCATGCACATGTTTGTAGAGTTGAACCGTGGATCATCATGCCTGCAAAAGTTCAAGATAAAGTATGCTCATAGTTCTCATAATCCAAGACATCTTTCGATTTTTTCGAAGAAGATTTTAAAGAATGACGATTCCATCGACGATTGTAACAAAAGAGTCATGGAGTGGATAACCGAAGTAGTCCACCGCGGAGTTCTGTTAGAATTTGTGTCCATGATTAAATCTTGTAATATCATATATGTTATAGTTTGTATGTAAAGTCAACGGATGTTATGTGCTACATGTTACTTACTACGAAAGGGTGTGAGTAAGACACGTAACTTGTCGGAAAAGTTACAACTCTTACCAACGGTTACTTAGAGTAGTTAGTTATGTACACATAAAGTATGCTCATAGTTCTCATAATCCAAGACATCTTTCGATTTTTTCGAAGAAGATTTTAAAGAATGACGATTCCATCGACGATTGTAACAAAAGAGTCATGGAGTGGATAACCGAAGTAGTCCACCGCGGAGTTCAACATCTAGATGTTGAGGCCGTCGGGATAATTCAATCTCATCCAGGATTTAACAACATAATGTATTCACCTTCTGTAGATTTCATGCCTAAGTATGTTTATGTGAGCAAGACATTGGTGTCTTTAAAGCTCGTAAACGTAGGGCTTGAAGATCCCAAGTTTGTTGTTTCTCTACCTAGTCTCAAGATCATGCATCTAGAAAACATTTATTACAAGAGTCATGGTGGTCTTTTGATCATAAAGATGCTCATCTCAGCCTCTCCTGTTCTTGAAGATCTTACCTTGGTAAGACATTTTGATTGATGATAATAACTCTCTGTCTCAGACTCTAAACTAAGCTTGCATTTTTCGCAGGACTTTCCCGATTTCACGGAGCCAAAAGAAATCGTTTTTTGGCAGGAGTTTTCGTTTTCTGTTCCAAGTCCAACAATGCCAAAGAGTAATTTCGATTTAGTGCAAGGCAATTATTTTACATGGAAGCCAGAGGAAATGGACCTTACTAATGTGCCTCGGTGTATGAAATCGACGCTGGTGTATGTTAAGATCAACAAACTGATAACGAAGGAGGAAAGTGGGATTAAAGTAGTGAATTACTTTCTTGAGAATTCAGCAGTCCTCAAGAAACTGACTATGTTTTTCACACATTCTTCTATGGAGATTCAAGAGCCAGAGAGCTACATGAAGCTTCTTACATCCACGAAGCTTTCTCGCAACTGTCAAGTTTTCATTCATTGACATGCAGCTGATGATGATGCTGGTCACAACGTAAAGCTGTTTTCATTGAACAATAATAGTGTCTTCTTGAGATTTGTTTCTTCTTGCTACTGTTTTGATTCTTAATCCATGTAGATATTCATATGGTTAAAAGCCAATATATGCACTTTATTGTTCTGGATCATTATCGAATTTTCTTTGAATCGGTTCAGGGCAAAAGATCTCAAGTTTTCTTTTATATATATAGACATGGTTTATCAGGTTCAAGTTAGGACATGTTAAAGTACTCTTGAATGATGATGATGTCTTCTTCATATCTAGTCATCGTACTTCTGTTTCGATTCTTTTCTTTACATGCTTAAAGGTCAGATTATGCAGGACGCTTACAGCTCATAAACTCTGTTCTTGTAAGCTTAACAAATTTCTGGATATCGGCGTTTAGGCTACCTCAAGGATGCATCAGAGAAATCGAGAGATTATGCTCCGCTTTCTTGTGGTCGGGACCTGATCTTAACCCAAAGAAAGCAAAGATATCTTGGTCGGAAGTTTGTAAACCGAAAAAAGAAGGTTTTTTGGGGATAAAAACACTAACTGAAGCAAATAAAGTTAGTTGTCTAAAGTTGATATGGAGAAATGTTTCAATGCAGCCATCTCTATGGGTCTCATGGATTATGAAGTATCTTATAAGAAAGGAATCATTCTGGTCTATAAAAGGGAACACAAGTTTGGGGTCTTGGATGTGGAGAAAGTTGTTAAAATATAGAGTAGTCGCAAAGCCACTTCATAAGATGGAAGTAAGAAGTGGGAGGTCAACATCATTCTGGTTTGATGATTGGTTGGGTATGGGACGAGACGACTGATTGAGACTACTGGACCTCAGGGAGTTATTGACATGGGCATATCAATTGAAACAACAGTAGAAACAGTGTTGAAATCAAGTCGAAACAGAAGGCATGGGGTCGGTAGTCTAAATAAAAGAAAAGAAGGCAAAGATATATCTTTGTGGAAGTACTCGGCTGACAAATTCAAGGCAGCTTTCTCAACAAAGAGAACTTGGAACATGATTCGAGAAACATATGCACGGGTCGATTGGCCCAAAGACATATGGTTCTCTTATGCAACCCCCAAGTACTCTTTCCTCGCATGGTTGGCTATTCATGATCGACTCTCAACAGGAAACCATATCAAAAACTGTGAGCTTGGAACAACGGGTGGACTGTGTTCTCTGTGACAATGTCGAAGAGACTAGGAATCACCTCTTCTTCTCTTGTCAATACTCTTCAGAAATCTGGAAATCTCTTACGCATAAACTACTTGGGACTGACTTCCACACAGAATTGGATCAGGTTCTCTCTTCTCTACATAACTCAACTCTGCCTCGGATTAAACTCTTCCTCCTAAGGTATGTCTTCGAATCGATGATTTACCACATTTGGGGAGAAAGAAATGCAAGGGGGCATGGCGAAATAAATCAACACACGGTCGGCTACTCAACCTCATTGACAAGAACATCAGAAATCGACTCAGCTCAATACACGACATGGGAGACAGAAACTACGAGAATGGACTGATGGAGTGGCTCACCCTCAGCCCCATTCCATAAGGTAGTCATCAAGGGTTCTTTGCTATAAGATTCTTTCAAAAATCTCTTACTAATAAAAGATGCTCATTGAAACCTCTCAATGTGTCCACATCAGTTTTTCTAAAAATCACTCTCAAGACTCCACGTCAGCATAACTCTTTCTTCCGCAAGAATATTGGTTTCGGTTTTGGTTGCTAATTAAGAACTCTAAAAATGTGATGACATGTCACCAGAACAGTGCCACGTGGTATTCTTTAAACAAAGGTAGGAGGAAGAAAAAGTTTCCGGCTTCTTCTTTTTGTAACCTAATTGTAATGGTCTCTTCGTCTTCTTGCTTGCAAACAAATGCATCTACTTCTTAACCATTCGATTTCTATGTTTTCCGTTTGTGCAGAACTTATATATATAAATGGAACGAGTGATGTTCTCCAAAAAAACCGATGAGAAAGTGGTCACGTTGGTCGAGCGTGAGACGATGGTGTGTTATGGAACACTCTACGAGGTCATAGGCGACATAGGTTTGCGGCTCTTAGTCGGCCAAATATCGTTTCCAAATTTGATTTGAACAAAGGTTCACTCTTTTAATTAAATCCATTCTTTGATCTTTCCCGTAGGTTTCTCGGTTTTAAACCCTTGCCTTTCTCAGTTTAAAACCCTTGCATATTGTAAATTTTCTACTAGAGTAAAGATAGGATTTCGACGTTGTCATCTTTGATTACGGTTTGGATTGATAGCTAATTTTGTACTAGAAATCGAATACCATAAAATTTAGACTTCCAACCAAAACTAATTATGTAGATCTTCAAGACATGTTTTGCATTCTCATATGTAGCGATTTGATGCACATGCTTTAGAGATTTGGTGCTGCAATTGTACTAAGAACAAAGAGAATGAAAACCAAGAGTGTTCTTCAGTTCAGAGTATTGAAAACCTTGAGGAATATGTTCATGTGAAGACCCGCTCATCTTTTTTGGAAAAAGAAGGTTTGTTCCTTCTTTCTCAAACATGTTTTCTTTTATTTTATCTCAACTGAAGATTTCCATCTCAATTTTCTTCTAACATGTATCCATAGTCAAACGTTGCCACTCCTTAGTTTGCTGTTTTAAATCTATACTAGGATCGGACCCGCGGTCCACCGCGGGAGAATATTAGTTTACATACGTTGCGTTTAATATTGTGTGTGTTTTTAGTAGAACGAATCGTGTAGTATACTTATAAATATTCATAATAACGAATTGTAGAGAAAATGTAAAATTGTTTATAAATATACCCATCGTATTAATTATGATTTACAAAATAGAATTTTGTGTTTTAAAATTCTAAAATTAGACGATTCATGGGAATTAGAGCAGTCAAAATAGGTCAAAAACCGCGGGTCGAGCCCACATCATCTCACTATGGGGCAAATTTGGGAAAATATATTAAACCCGCAAATAAGCGGGCCACATGGATTAATTCGCAGTGGGTCATAGGTTTAATCGGTTTTCGTCCGCGGGTTGGCGGATCAGCCCGCATATTAGTATTTGTTGATAAAATTATAATTTATTCAACATGTGGTAATTTAAACAAACTTTTAATAGTATTTTGATTTATTTATTTATTTTAGTAGTATTTTAAATTTTAGTTACTTTAAAAATATTTAAACAAAATCCATGGACAATCCCGCAAATCCGCATACATTCGCGAGACGAGTTTATATTTCATATATGCTACCCGTGGGTCGTGCGGACCGACTAACTACAAGTCAAAATATTTTTTGTCTATCGCAAAACGGACTTAACGGGACGAATCAACTCGCTTTGATAGTTCTAATGGGAATATTAATTATTTAGTCATACAACAAAATGAAGTTTGGACATAGTAATAATAGAATATGTATCTTATTTTTTAGATGAGAGATTGAAGGATGAAGTATAATGATTAAAAATTAATTATTATTTTTCATGATTCACAAAATTTAATAAATACTTATCATCTTGTTGAATAATTCTAAAATCATATTCAAGAAATCTTTATAAATTGAAAATTAAACTTCTTTGGTAAGCTATATGTATGAAAATATCATAATTTCGATTTAATCTAATTAAATTAAAATTAGTTACATGGATTTCATATCTATTTAGTTTACACGACCAAAATAAAAATATCAATTTAATTTATAAAACAGATGGGTTATTTGTGATAAATTTTCTAGAAATCTTTAGAAGCAAGTAAAATATCTTTTAATTAATGATAATTGGCTAAAATGAGCGAAATTAATGACAAAAACGTTGATTGTTATGGAATTAGTTCCAAAAATATATGAACAAATTTATTATACGTAATTAATGTATAATATTGTTTGGAATATGCTTTTATTATTAATTACCATAAGTACAATCAGATTTTATTTGATTTCCATAAATATTTGTTTTTATTTCAATTTTTCATTATTAATTCGAATTTATATTCCAAAAAAATTTCAAAGATCCGATTTCAGAATTTCAGGTCAATTTTCTGATTTTAATCCGACCCATTTTCATTTGTACTTCTCTTTTAATAGTATAGAGATATGTCTCCCATCTTTTTCTTTCTAGACTTGGCAGAAATGATATGTACCTACGTATATATATATATCCAATTAAATAGATTCTATACATGTTTTGATGATTACAAAGTCAATTTAAGATGCTTTTAACAATCAGCTATGCAACACAATAAAAAAGGTAAGGTCCAAGCTTTCTCTATTTGCTATCTATTAAGAATTACTGTACGATTACTAGAAAAGAGATGCAAGCTAGGTTGCGTTTTTAATCATCTTTAAATAGACAAACTACCTTGATTTAATTCTAACGCCAAACATTTTAGACTTTTGTCAATTATCTCATTTTTGTTTCCCACATCTCCTTGATATTAAACCATACCAACGCTTCCTAGAATAACCACTACAACATAAGCAAGCTAAGTGTTGGTGGAGTAAAGAGACATGAAAAGCCTTTGGTGAAGTAAATCCTATGATCTTTTAAGGCTATGACTTTTTAATAGCCTTAGAGTGAAGAATGTATCCTAGGTTCATTTCTTTGTCTTTAATGGTTTATGAAGCACCTACCTTTTATATCGTCTTTAATGGTTTATGAAGCACCCACCTTTTATATCGATAACCCATAGGGAGTAACTTATGTTCATGTGTCATTAAGAGAGAAGGGTGTGGAAGAGGCCATTTGGAAAAAGAATTAGTAAACATACATAAGTTAATTAGTTGAATACTAATTTCTTTAGATAACTGATTTCTCATTTTCTCTAGATTTTCATAGTTAAATAGCTTACTAGAATTCATGTATTGTGTACTCACAGTAATTTTCTCAAATTTTTGTCCTCCTAAATATTTCACAAACGTTTCTATCTGTTTTTGCTGCAGGTAAATGAAGCCAGTGGAGAAACCATTTCGTGTACATTTTTTCTAAAAAAATACCCATTGATGCCTTGCTAAACATTGGTGTTGGCCATCTTTCACGAAGAAACTGGGTTGTCACAAGGATTCTTGAATGGCTCTTTGTATGCAACTGTATTGAAGGTGAAACTTCCTCTACCAGATTTGACCGTGTCGTTTTGTGGGTATATGATGTTTGATCACCGACCCTATTACTCCTTATTTATCAACAACTCTCAATGGCTTAAAGGACCAACTTCATTGTTTTTAGTTTTGTTTAAAAATGAGTTTTATTGTTATTTCTTCTTACATGATAGTAAACTTATAAACCCAAATACAAGATGTGAGTTCTGTTTTATGACTATTACTTTTTTAACTTTATGCTCTAGATATGGAGTGTTGTGAGTTATGTTTTAGTAGAAAAATATGGTTCATTACTCTTAAATTTTGTAATCTCATGCCAAAAACAGCAAATGTAGTTTTATCATGGAACGCGGAAATTGTTGGTCGAGTTGGTGGTGGATTGCGTGACACTATGGTTGTAGAAAACCTCATCATGATGACGTGGGATTGGGTCTCTTGCTCGACCAGAATTCGTTTTCAATTGGAAGTCGGAACTAGAGCTCTTCTCGCTAGAGTTTTATCCGGGATATTCAGAAGTTAATGTTATCTATCTGTTTGATTTGAAAAAGCTTTAAAAATTGATAAAATTAATCAAAATATTGTGGAAAATAGCTCCTTAGTATGAATTCATGTTACTCTCATATAGAAAACTAAAGTTGGTCGTACACAAAGTAAAACATAAGTCCCACGCGTAGCGTGGGATAGCCCCTAGTATAATTCAAAAACAGATGCATTCATTGTAAAAACGTCTTTTGATTGAATACAATTTTACATTCAATACAAAAAAAAAAAAATCAGATTATGCAACTTCACTCTAAAATACCAGATGATGAACACATAAACCAATAGAAAACCAAAAAATGATTGGTTGAAACTTTAACCATTTTATTAACCAGTTGCGACCCGGTCACAATTCATGAACACTAAAAGGCATATCTTGAGTCATTTTCATACAAATGCATACCTTAAAACCACACAATCTTGTAGAACGAAACTGATAATAATAACTCAAAAAGATCACTCAAATAACAATTTTCATCATTACCAAATAGAGACTTGACTTAGAAGAGTTCAGTTTCCTTGTGGGTATGGATCACACAGTCTGACTGCGGGTAAGCCACACAAGTCAACACATAACCCTTCTCCAAGTGGCTATCCTCGAGAAACGAACCATCCGACTGGTCAACGTTGCCCGACACAATCTGACCAGCGCAAGTGGAACACGCACCGGCTCTGCAAGAGTAAGGCAAGTCAACTCCTGCCTCTTCAGCTGCATCCAAGATGTATTGGTCATCTTGCACCTCAAACTCATTTTCTTGACCATCGGGTCCTAAGAGCTTAACCTTGTATACCGCTGACATCATGGCACCAGAATTCGCTGAGCATTTCAAACCAAATGATCTCGAAACCTTTTTCGTTGATCCAATGGATAAGTTGTAGCTCTTGTTGGCAATAAGCTTGTTGGTTGTCTGGCTTCTAAGAACCGCCTTGGTCATGCTAGTGGAGGAGATTTGCACAGTCGCCATTTCTTTTTTTTTCACCTGCGTTTACAGTTCAGGGTTTCTTCATTATTGATTTGTTCCAAAGAAATAAGCACGAAAACTGCGACAAAATCGAGATAATGTGCATCACAAGTAGCAATGGAAACAAGAACCAAAAACAAATCTGTTTCCAATAGCCAATATGATGTGAAAATTCACTATATGGAGCGTAATGAGAAGATTCAAGCTTAAAGCTATATTAGATCTTCACTCGATGCTCCAAAACATGACTAGTTAAAAATCACTAAAACATGTTTAATTTATAATCAAATAGATTCTAAACTCAATCGAACCAGCTTAATGACAGAAATAAACCTAAAACAGACTTGAACCAAGATTTACCAAATAACAACAAAAAAATTTCACATGAAGTTTTGCAATTTAGAGATGATTAGAATCTGAATCGCAACAATCCAAGATCAAATATTGGTCACTATCATCAGATAACGAATATGAGAGGAAAAACGAATTCGAAAGATATTTTTTTTGTCCCCACAAAGAAGTCAATGAAAAAAAAACACAACGAACAAGTAAACATCGATCATCAGATCAAACTCTATAAACATCGGAAGAAAAATATCAGAGAAAATCGAATCAAATCTGAAAACTTACGGGGAGAGAGAGATAGCGAGAGAATTAGGGAAGAAGGTGGCGGAGAGTGCGAGAGGAGGTTGGTGGAAGAGTTTGAGAGGCGAAAGCAAAATATAAAAGGAGCAGGCAGTGTGGCCTTTGGAAGGCCGTCACGGCCCAACTTGTGCCACCTGAGACGCCTTAATATTTTTATTTTTTTCCTACCAGTTTTTTTTTTTTGTTTTTTCATTATTCTGTTCTTTTAGATTTCATATAATTTTCTGCTCAACAAAAAAACAAGATTTCATATAATTCATTTAATTAAAAATTAAATATTTTCCGTAACATATTTTTTTTGAAGTAATATTTTTGTTGGATACTAAGTTTCGTTTTCGCGAAAAGAGATATAGAAAAGTATATAAATGTAATTGATAACGATATAAAGAAATGAATATACTATTTTTAATTTATTGTTATCATTTTTATGGTTGATAAAATAATATAATATTTACTATTGCGGTAAAATATTAAACTTGTTATTTTTTGAATCAATTATATCATTCATCGTCTACTTTTACCATGTTTTCTAGTTTTATATTAGCATAAAAATACATGTCATGTTCTTATTTGTGTTTTATGAGTACTTTCTAAAGTAAGAACAAATTCTTCACCTAATTTTTAAGGTGGCCTATGATTTTATGAATGTGAAATAGAATTTAAAAATGATTTGATTTTTCTACAACTCAACACAGTTTATTTTTAAATGGGAAAACAAAAATGATTGTAATAAACCTCATTCAGTATTAATATTCGGTTCAACTTGATGATGTGCAAAAAAACTTTTTATTCTTTTGTTGTACGAGATTTTGGTTAAGTGTAAAGAAAAACAGTCAAACAGAGGTGTTCGTGATAGAGTTAACGGAGGCGTCCGTGATAGAGTTAACAAAGAAACAACAGATGATGTTTTTCCATTCCTTGTTGTTTGATATTCACCTTGTAAGCGTAGGATAAATTACCAATACAATGTCATGTAAAAACTTATAAGTGAATCAGATTTTCTAGAACATCTTTTCCAACTTATGGACAACCATCTCAATGCGGTGTGATTGGCTAACTCAAATTCATGTTTAGAAAACTCGTAATTACAAACGAGTTTTCTGGCTATTGTTATCATCGAATGGAAGATTTTTTGTGCTTCCACGTACATAGCTCTATTGAGAGAGAACAATATTTGTACAGGAAACAAAGGTACAAGTAAAAGATGAATACATATTTCATTGTTCAATGTTGTATAGTACTGCGGTTGTTAAAGGTACTCGAATCGAACGGTTGGCATGAGCTTCTCGTCGTCCGCTTCTCTTTTTTAGTCTTTTT